AGGATGGAGGTTCAGGCTCCCCACTGGGCCTCCTCTGATCCCAGCCCAGCAGGGAGTGGGAGGGGTGCTTCCTTAATTGCCTGGTCTCTGTGGAAGTCTTGGCTTCCTGCTCGGCCTTTGGGCAGCAGTGTGGTCTAGGGGCTTTGGCTATTATTGTAGGGTGGCTGGCGTCCTGAGCTCGGTGCTGGGAGCGGGACCGGGTAGGGGGAAGGGTGGATGGAGGGAGGAGAGGCCGGGGAATTAGGGCCCCTGAGGGGAGGGAAAGGATCCCTGTGCATGATGTTTCTCTGTCTCTGTCTCTGTGCTGCACAGCACAAGGATAGAAGGATACATGCCAAAGTGCTCAGTGATGCCGTTGTTCTCAAGGGGCTGATAAGCAGGCAGTCTCTCTTCTATAGGGTTCTGTATTACTTAGCTGTATTATGATGATGATAGTAATAATCATAATCAATAAAATTAAAAAGCTCTGTTATGGGGACCGGGAGACCTGTAACGCCTGAATCCTATCCTGCTCTGGTCATCCCGCCTTGAGAGTCCCAGAGGAGCTGAACTCACGAAGGACAGCAGCAAAACGGACAGCATGCCCTTGATCGTGTGCTGATGGCGGAGCGTCCTGTGAGCTGGCTGGAGCATGCCACTTCAGCTCAAGGCTGAACTGACTCTGTTTACTCAAGGGCCTGGGATCTGGGGGTGGGGTCCCCCTCAGGAGCAGGCCAGCTTTAGCCCACACGTGTGCTGCCTGTGGCCAGAGTAAGAGGTGGGACCTGTTAGCTCCCGGTGAGCCTCCCCAGCATCACAGGGGCCTCCTAACCAACCTGCCCGGACCTCTGGGCCCATTCTACCTCATGACCTTCTTCCAGGAGTGGGGTCGGAGGCTTGCTCGGCCTGGGTTCCCAGGAAGGGTGGTGGTAAGTGGGCAGAGTCAGGGGTCACAGACAGGATGTGGCTCTTCCTGGCCTGGAGTGTTTGCAGATCAGACTTCAGAAAGGAGGACTTGCTTATGCAGTTATTTTGAGATTTTCCTTCTTAATAGTATAGCGTAGCTGGCTGAAAGCTGGCAAACACTTCATAGAAATGGAACACTCAGAGCCCACACTTCTGTGATTTTCCTTGTATTGAACATGTGGTCTTCTCTCTGAGTCCTTTTGTTGAGGATGAGTGCGCAGTAAGTAATTGGACCTAAAAATGCATCCAAATTATAGCATCTTCGTCAGAATGAGCTGACAACATAATTATGATTATATTTCAGGGTATAAGATACATTTTTTCATACCCGTCCACTATAAAAAATGAAAACAGCTCCCTTGTTGTTATTTCGGTGGGATAACAATGATGCGCGCTGGGGGAGGCAGCGCGGCCTGACGCCCCTCGCCTGTGTTGGCATTTTGCTTCCTGCGCGTCTCCGCGGAGAGCGCGGCTTCCCTCCCGCCCGGAGGCCTGCGGGACGTTCGCGGATTCCGTTCCGGAGGGAACACGGTGTGTTCTGTCCGGTTCTTTTAAACCCAGGGTGGCGTCGGGGCACCGGACCGGCTCAGTCCGTAGAGCAGCGGCCCGGAGCCTCAGGGCTGCAAGTCTGAGCTCCACGCTGGGGGTAGAGATTACTTATATGAGAAAATCTTAAAAAAACAAAAACAAAAACAAAAAACAAACTCAAGGTTGCCCAGTTGGTGGCAGAGTAGAGTCCCCTCGCTGGCGGCCGGGCAGTTCTGAGGGCGGCCACACGGCCACGTGGCGCCCGGAGACCCTGGCCCGGGCAGGCGGGGCCGCACTCCGCCCACCCCCCACCCCCCACCCCCTCAGTTAAGTGAGGGTCCTGCTGGGTCACGTGACTCACCCCCTCCCACGCGTGGGATCGAGTCTGCAGCCGCCTCAGGGGGCGGACCTGCCGCAGGCTCTTGGGAAGCGCGTGCCCGCTGACAGCGGGCAGCCCGGGGCGGGTGCCCGACTCTAACCGGGGCGGGGCCCGGCGCGCTTGGGCGCGCGCAGATGCAGAAGCAGTTCAGGGCCCGGAGTGCCTGTGAACGGAGCCCCCGCCCCATGACTTTGTGGTCCCCCAAAGTGCTACTCTGTGAGACGTGTCGGAAGCCAATAATACGCACAGGTCTGTTGGGAAGTAGTTTCTGGAAAACCCGAAGATGCACCCGCTCCGGGCAGCAGCCGGGGCGCGCTCCTTGGCGGGGCTCCGCCGGAGGGCTCTCTCCCCGGGCCTGCAGGGGGCGCCCCCGTGCCCGCGGCCCCGTAGATCCACTGCCCTGAGCCAGAAAGAACTTGATCCCCGGTTTGGGGGTTATGCTTTTTGGGATAACGTTCATTCCAGACCCTGTTGGTTACAGCGGTGAGTATTTTAGCCTAACTTGAAGCAACTCCACTCACGGGGTGGAGCCGAACACGGCTCACGTCACAAGCAGGTCGCAGAGAGTCTGGCTGCTGTCCGCTTCCTGCCGACCTGCCGCGGGCAGCCGGCTCGTCCCCTCCGGTCTCGGGCTCCTCACCGGTGGAAGGGGGATGACACAGTCCCTTTTCCGCCTGAGTCGTGAGGTCGCTGTTGGGATGCGCACTGAAAATAACATGGCCTTGTAGGAAGCCAAGAAGTGTTACCATAATCTCTTCTTACTTGCATGGGAAGCATTTGGTTCTTTAGGAATAAAGCATTTCTTGGAAAAGATAAAATATCGATTGATGCTGTTCATGAGAGAGTTTCATTGAGGAGGCAATGTTCTGCTTTGTTAATTTCTATTTCCGGTGTTGTTTGGTGGTTGTGGTGGGGGGGAGTTCCCTTCGGTCTTCATTCCTCCTGCTCCTTCTGGAGAAGCCCTTCCGTTGGATGCAGAGGGGGCCTGATTCTGCAGCTGCAGCGCCCGGCCCGGTTCGGTCCTCACTGTGGCAGCGGTCGGTGGGCTCACTGCCTTTCTCTCCTGTCTCCTCTTTCTGGGAAGGGAATCTTGCTGTGAGGAGGAGGAGGAAAATGGGGTGGGGAGGGGTGGGGGGGTGGAGATTTTTGTGTTAAGATACGAGAGGTTAGCATGTGGCAAGCAGTAGAGAGGAAAGATGAGTGTTCTGGAGAAAGAAGTTACTGGAATGTGGTCATTGGGGGGGAGGGGTTGGGGTTCGCTGCACACAGGCCATTGCCTTGCCCCTCTGTCCAGCGGTCTTCCAGGGTGGTCTGTGGGCATGCTCTTCCCAAGTGTAGGCACTAAGGGTGCCTTGTCTTCAGAGAATTTTAAAGCAATTTTTTAAAAAGTTTATTCTGAGAGAGACGGGAGTGCAAGCAGGGGAGGGGCAGAGAGAGAGGGAGACACAGAATCTGAAGCAGGCTCCAGGCTCTGAGCTGTCAGCACAGAGCCCAACGTGGGGCTCGAACTCATGGACTTTGAGATCATGATCTGAGCTGAAGTCAGACGCTTAACCAGGTGAGCCACCCAGGCGTCCCTAAAGTAATAACATTTAAATGTTAGTCTGTTCTTTTGTTTTTTTATTATCATTTTTATCTCCCTGAGCCACCAATTCTAAACCGTGTCAATGATAAAATTACTGCCTGCACTGGAGCGGCCCACTCCCACGGATCCCCCCCCCCCACCTTCTGTGCCACTGCTGGTGCCAGCCTTCATACCAACAGGAGTGGGGCCGGGTGGGTGCAGGTGCAGTGGGCGGGCAGTTGTGGCGGAGGAAGCCGCCTTCTGGTCTTCACGTGCAATAGAAGCAAGGCCAGCGGCCAGATGGGAAGATGGGAGTGAGGGATAGAGGGGTCCGAGACGTTTGCTCACCATCCGCGGAGAGCACGCGGCCTGGAGACCGTGTGCGATTGCCAGGCGGCATTGAGAGCACTTGTGGGGCTAGCGATGGTGAGGGCCCAGCCGTGTGGGGAGCTGGGCGCGGGCACGCGGTGGGTGGAGCGCTGTGGCTTCCTGTTGCCTGCTGTGTTCCCACTGCTGTGTGGGCACGTGAGCTGTGTGTCCTGCTTCATACCAGCACCCGAGGCATTCTTACTGCCCTTCAGAGATCACCCGGCCTTACAGCATTCAGGGGTAGGGTGGGAATGTCATCTGGGTTCTTCTGGCTTCAAAGCCATTGTCCTTTCCATCATACCAATTCCTCTTGCCATTGTTAAAAATACCTCTAGCTTTTAATTATTCTTTGACCCTAAATTTAAGATTCCAATATGTACCTATAATTATCTTATCTGACTCAAAAGTGAGCGTTTTCCTACCATGTCTTCCTGCCTAGTATAATGGGATGAACTCTAATAGGCTATTAGTAAATATTTGTGAATGGTGGTACTGCTTTCAAATAGGAATTAAGTAGCTTAAAAAAATCAACAGATTCCCATTCTTCTAGTCTGTGCCAGCCCACAGAAGGCATCTTTGCTCTTGAGAAATGCTATTTTGATCAGTTTTTCCTCATACCTAATCGGAGAGAGCCTCGCTAGAGCACTTTGTGGCAGTCAGTGCGGTTCATTCATGTGAAGGCTGGGTTTCACTCTTTCATGTTGCCGTGTCGGTGCCGGAATCTGGGCTGTCGGGTTTGGGTAACGGGGGTCCGTATCAGACAGTATCTGGAAGGACAGTGGTTTTGAATTTCTGGAAAAGAATATTCTGGGGGCACCTTGGTGGCTCAGTTGGTTAAGCATCCACCTTCAGCTCGAGTTGTGATCTCATGGTTTGTGGGTTTGAGCCCCGCATTGGGCTCTGTGCTGACAGTTCGGAGCCTGGCTCTTGCTTTGGATTCTTTGTCTCCCTCTCTCTCTGCTCCTCCCACACTCACACTCTGTCTCTCTCCCAAAAATAAATGAAACATTAAAAAAAAATTTCTGGCAACTGGAGCCCCCTGAAGTTAGAAGTGAGGTGCTTGCTGTGGAGGTATCCACAAGAGGGACACACACAGTCAATTGGAGGCTGGCCATTGCTCAGAAGGGCAGTGTTCAATATTTTCCTTTGGCGATCGGAAGTGATCATTGTTTTCTTTCAGATGAAATAACACAGTTTGCTTTCCCCCCCTCACAGAGAACATCTTCATGTGCAAGTGCTGTAACCTTTTCTCACCAAGTCAGTCGGAGCTCCTCTCCCACGTCTCTGAGAAGCACACGGGAGAAGGGGTTAATGCGGATGAGATCATCATTCCCCTCAGGCCTCTGAGCACTCCTGAACCCACGAACCCTCGCAGAAGCGGAGATGGTAAGGGGCCCGGGTGCTGGGTGAGGGGGCCACGGCCACGGCCGTGCCTGCCGGTGACGATGGCGGTGATCGGCCCGCCCACCCTTTGATGTTGGGTTTCTGTTTGCTGGGCATAGAAACCCAGAACTTTCACGTCTCCAACAGTCAACAACTGTCCCGTTGTAGTCCGTTCAAAATAAGATTGTGCTTTTGAATTCACTGTACCTGGCCTCTGTGGGCACCTCTCCAGGGCCTGGCTTTAGAATGCAGAATGAAGAAAGGAAGGAATGATTGAGTTAATGAAAGGTGGTGATGGCACCCAACAGCATGAAAAACAAACTGTGAGCTTGTTGTCAGATGAGTGTGGGTCTAAGCCAGTTGTAGGACCTAGCAGCTGCGTTACCTGAGGCAAATGAGCCTCACTGTGCTCACCTGACAGATGAAGGTAAACAATCCCGTCACATGGTGGGTGCTGAGGGTCGAGTCAGATGATTTGCCATTGTCACCTTGGATGACACCTGGCACAGGAGACAATAAAGGGATGCTGTGATGACATGTGTGATTAATGTATAAGAATATGTGATCTGAGACCCCCACATTTCTGGGCCGAGCGTGTAAACCTTGAACAAGGATCCAAATTAAAGCTTTGATTCACACACACTGTCAGGTTCACAGTTGGTGTGAAGTGAGATGCATCTTGTCTGCAGCATCCAGACGTCTCCCACTGAATGGCGTCAGATGCAGCAGGTGGGTGGATTAGAGGAACCATCTGGGTCCCGTAATTGGGTCCCCACGGACAGAGACAATGTGTAGTACAGGAGGAGTAGCTGCAGATGATAGAGAAAAAAGCCCCCACAAAACTATTGTTTATGATGAGGGACAACAGCCAGTCTCCCGTGCAGAAGTACAGTCTGTGGCCATCAGTGTTCCGTCACAGGATTCATTAGCCACACAGATAACTGGTTGCTCTTTCCTGGGAATATTCAGGCTGGCATTTCTAAATAGGCCGGCTTATTGATCATCTGTCTGGCGTCGGTAACAAGGAGAGACTCCAGACAAAAATGTTTTGGTTAATGAGTCCCTCTGGCTGCTCCCAGGGAGCTCAGAGAAACACGCCTGACAGAGGATTAAGTCGTTGAGAAGCTAAGAGAAGTTCTGCTAGTCCCTGTTAGTGGCGGAAGATGAAACCGAGGAAGCCCAGCACCTGAAGCCAGTGACGGTGAATGAGGAGGATTTGCCTCCTCCTCACCAGCGGCCGGTAGAGGTGTGTCCACGGTGTTTCACTCCCATCACTGGCCGCTGTGAGAAAGCAGGACTGAGGCGGGAACTCACACATGATCACATCTCGGCTGATAGTGCACGTTTGATTCTCTTTGCTTTGCGGACGAGGAGGGGAGGGAGGTTAATTTGTCATTAAGAATCTACCCAGTAGCCTAATTAAAAACGGGCAAAAGACCTGAACAGATTCTCCCAAAGAAGGCATACAGACAACCAACAGGTGCATGACAAGATGCTCAATGTCACCACCCACCTGGGAAGTGCAGGTCAAAGCCACAGTGAGACACCGCCTCACAGCCCTTGGAACGGCTGTCCTCTGGAAGACAACAGGTGCTGGTGAGGATGGGTAGCAAAGGGAACGCTGTGTCCTGTCGGTGGGAATGTAAATTGGCGTAGCCCCTATGGAAAATACTCTGGAGGTTCCTCAAAAGGTGGTAATAGAATTACCATATGATCCAGCAATCTCACTTCTGGAAATATATCCAAATGAAATGAAGGATCTGAAAGAGATATCCACACCCCTGTGTTCATTGCAGTGTTATTCACAGTGGACAGTCTAAACATCTGTCAACAGATGAATGAATACAGAAAATCACACACACACACACACACACACACACACAGGAATATTATCTGGCCATAAAAAAGGAGAAAATCCTGCCTTTGCAACATGGACAAATTTGGAAGACACTATCCTAAGTGAGATAAGCTAAACCCAGAAAGACAAATACTGTATGATCTCACATATATGTGGAATCTAAAAGAGCTGAATTCATAGAACCGGAGAGTAGAATGGTGGCTGCAGCAGAGGGGGATGGGAGATGACGGTCTAGAGGGTACAAACTTTGAGGTGAATAAGTCCCGGGGATCTGATGTACACCATGGGGACTACAGTGGACAATATTGTATTACATACTGGAAATCTGCTGACAGAGTAGATCGTAAGTGTTCTCGTCAAAAGAGGAAAATGGTTGCTATTGTTGATTGTGGTGAGCATTTCACAGTGTATATGTACATTAAATCATTTTGTGCACCTTAAAAAAAGGATATTGTATAATCAAAGTAAAAAAAGGATATTGTATAATCAAAGTATACGCAATTTTTGTCTGTCAATCATGCGTTAGTAAAGGTGAAGAAAAAAAAAAAAAAGAATCTGCCTAACGCCAAGGCCTTCACAGTTCAGCCATGCCTCCCTCTGCCACCCAGCCTGGGAGTGAGTGAAGCGCATATGCCAGACCTCACTGTAGGTTCCCTGATGATGTTCACATTCCCCATGTCTGCCTTCCTGTTGAGCAGTTAAGATGCCTTGGCTTGTGGCGCCTGGGTGGCTCAGTCAGTTGAGTGTTTAACTCTTGATTTCGGCTCAGGTCATGGTCTCATGGGTCGTGAATTTGAGCCCTGTGTTGGGCTCTGTGCTGAGCGTGAGGCTTGCTTGGGATTCTCTTTCCCCCTCTCTCTCTGCCATTCTCTCTCTCTCTCTCAAAAATAAATAAAATAAACTTTAAAAATGAAAAAGATGCTTTGGCTTTCCAAAGAGTGTAGCTTAACAGACGGATGGAATGAAAGCTTTAATCAGGAGCTATATTGTTGCTATACCTGTGTCTGGGGTTGAACATCTGTAGACTTGGGTGAATGGATAAACTCTTTTGTAAAATTCATATGGCAGATAGAAGTCACATGGGTTAAGGTATTGAGAACTTTGAGAAAGCTTGTTACAAACCCTTAATTCTATTTTTATTCAGCTTTCCTTATTAAGACTTCTTCCTACTAAAATGAAATGTGAATGAGGTAAAAGAATTTGAATTTTTAATTTCATTTATAAATAATGAATAAATGATAAGAGAGCAGATAGATCTTCTGGAACTCCGTGCGCCAGTGTTTTATAACATATGCGTGTGCTGACTTCCACCACCCTTGCCCTCGTTACTGATGTTAGTGAAAGAGATGGCGGGCTGCTCAGGAGGCCATCCTGGGCCACACTCTTCCTAGGGATCCCTCTTTTTATCCGTCTCCCTGATAGCCAGTGCACCAGGCCCATGTTCCCGCTCTTACCTGCTCTGCATTCGTGGTCCATCACTCTGTGCAGGTGACCATGTGTTTTTTTTCCTCCTTCATTCTATTAATGTGATGATTTATATGGATGGATTTTTCATACCCGGAGTCACTTCCTGGGCTACACCCTACTAGGTGATACTGCAGAGTCCTTTTTAGTATGATGCTGGAGTTGGGTTGTTAGTATTTTGATGAAGAGATTTATGTTCAGATGCAGAGATAACTGTAGGGTCGTTTCTCTGACATCTTTGATTTTGGAATCAAAATAGTTTGTGGCCTCACAGAATGAGCTGGGAAGTGTTCCCTCCTCTTTGATTTTTGTTTTGTTCATTGTTGGCGTTGTTGGAAGATTTTTGAAGTGTTAGTGTCAGTTCTTCTGAAATGCTTGCTAGAATTGACCAGTGAAGCTCTTTAGTTCTGGGCTTTTCATTTTTGGTGGTAAGATTTTTGATTACTGACTGAATTTTTCTGATTATGTTAGGTGTACCAATATTTTTTGTTTCTTCTTGAGTTCTTTTCAGTTGTTTGTGTCTTTCTAGGAAATTTTCCATTTCATCAAAGTTGATTTATCAACTGATTTGTTGGCATGTAAATTAATTGTTCATAGTATTCCTTTAGAATTAAAAAAAATGTTTTTGGTAAGATTAATAGTAATAGTCCATCTTTCATTCTTGATTTTAGCTATTTGAGTCTTCCATCTCTTTTCTTGGTGAGTTTAGCTAAAAGTTTCAGGTTTGGTTTTATTTTTTTTTTGTTTTATCTTTTGTTTTTCTGTTTAATCTCTTTACACTCTTTTTATTTTATTTTTTGTTCTGTTTGCTGTGCATTTGGTTTGCTTCTCTTTTCTCTGGTTTCTGGAGTTGGAAGAGTAGGCCACTGATTTGGGATCTTTCTGTATTTCACAGAGACATTTACAGCTATAACCTGCCTTGTGAAGTCCACTTCCACTGTGTCCCATCAGTGCTCGTACATTGTGTTTTTCTTTTCATCATCTCAGTGTATTTCCTAATTTCCCTTATGGTCTCCTCTTTGGCCCATTGGTTATATAGGGGTGCCATTTAGTTTCCACGTATTTTTGAGCTTTGCACATTTCTTTCTGTACTTTCTTTTTTAAATTAAAATTTAATTGACATACGTTCCTACATTAGATGCAGGATGTAGAAGATAGTGATTCTATATTTTTATACATTATGAAATGATCACCATGGTGGCTCTAGTCACTATCCATAACTATCTGTGACTGTATCAGAGCTATTACAATATTATTGATTATATTTCCTATGCTATACTTTTCATCCCCGTGACTTATTTTTATACTTGGAAGTCTGTGCCTCTTAATCGCCTTCATGTATTTCACCCATCTCCCCAGCCCTCTACCCCTGGCAACCACCAGTTTGTTCTCTGTAACAGTGAGTCTTTCTGTTTGTTCTTTTGTGTTTTAGACTCCATATATAAGTGAAATCATATATTTATCTTTTTCTTTCAGACTTATTTTACTTAGCATAATACCCTCTGGGTCTGTCTGTGTTATTGTGAAGGGCAAGACTTCATTTTTTTTTTTCTTTTATGGCTAGGTAATATTCTGATGTCTGTATACACACACACACACACACACACACACACACCACACACACACATGCCACACCTTTTCTATCCATTCGTCTATTGATGGACACTTAGGTTGCTTCCAT